TCTCTCTCTCTCTGTGTGTGCTGTCTATTTCTGAGCCCCTGTCTCTCTACCATTCGATCTTGTCTGGTTACTTCAGAGCAGGGTTGAGGAAACATGTTGATCTTGCACATATTTCTCTCCACAGGCAGGGGAGGCATAAGTCCAACACTGTCAATGCGGGTCTCCAGAGACAACACACCTCTCAAAGCCAAATCCCAACAACCCTCCAACCGCGACACCCCTCTCCTTCCGCTCAAATCCACATCCTCACCCCCCACCTCACTCCCCAGTGGGTGGTCGATACACAGCCCTCTCGGTCTGAAAATGAGATGCTGACTCATTTGCTGTCATTTCACCACCCCCTTTTGGGGTTGCTGATGGCACATGAAAGCACTTGGCTTAAGTAATGAGTGTCCCCGACATAGAGCCATCTGTGGAGCATCGTCACAATCTCCAGTTTTTTAGTCCACTACAGAATAATAAATTATTCAACTTCATTAAGTGTTAAATTGATTCTTAAAGTTGTGAAAGAGAGCTGCTGCCTGCCTCCGATATGATGAATTCTGTTGGTGTATTACCAATCAATCTAATGTGAGAGGGGTTGCTCAGAGTAACAAACCCACACAGATTTATGACCCAACTCTTCAGTTCTCCTCAGCTCCACAAAGCATTTTAGCATCTTTCAGCCCATTGTTTCGGGTTTACGACGGCAACTCTGTTTTGATTCACTCTCACCACCCATTTCCAACCACAACAGGCAGGAAAAATGCTCTGATACATTACACTACCTGCTCATCACCTAATGGCAGTGAGACAAAGTTCGCACCTAGCTAGTGAACATAGTGGAGTATTCGGCTGCAAAAGAGCCAGATATTTCCCCTAGGATTTGGCACAAAGCAAATAGAGCTATTATTGAGCTCATGTCCCCCTGTGTTTCCAGAAACATCACTCCAAATAAATGCTAACGCTGTTCCATATAGATGTTTAGTTGAATAGGCAAGTGTTTCCTAACAATTTCCAACTGTAAGCCAATATTGTGTCTACAGCTTGTTTCACTGACCACAGGTGGCTCAAAAAAAATCAATGAATGCAGCTTTAATAAATGGTTAACCAGGACAAGCATAGTTAACAGAGACCAAGGGAGCTATGCTCCTCGTTAACTATACAGATGATTTCAACAGTATTTTATCCTGTGCAATTTACAGCTGGTGGCTCTAATAGACAACACATTCCCCAGCTCATTATCCTACACATCTGTACAAATCAGTTTTGTAGGTGACAGAAATATTACCTGTAGCTCACATTGTTAAGCTTCTGGGCTTTTCAGATTTTCTCTTTATACTGTATGTACTAGATACAATTAGAACTTCTTTAACAAAATAAATGATTACTTAGAAATCCACCTTTTTATAAGTTTTTTCTTTTGGAGCTGGGACCTTAATTATTTGCGGAGAAAAAGCATATTTGGGGCTGTAATTGCCACCTAGGGAGGGAGGGGGAGTTGCCCATAGCATGTGTAGTTTTAAAATCAGATATCCTTTATCTTGAACATTACACAACATACTTTTTCATAAAATCTAATTATTTTTATTCCTAGGCAACAGTAAATGTATAGTTTGAATGTTTTTTCTTTTTTACTTATATGACCCTGTAATCTCTCCTCTGACTGCTCGTCTCTCTCCCCCCTCCTTTTCTGTTTTTGCAGAACCTACGGGATGTCTGGCTCAACTACCCACCACACCCCCTGCAGGTTGGTTGAGATATGTTTTATTATTGATGTTTATTTTGGCTAGGTGCCTCTCATTAAAACTCACCTCACCCCCAAGACACAAAAGCGCTCTCCCATCTTTGAAGTTTTCCAGCCTGAATGTATGTTTTTTCGTGTGTGTGTGTGTGTGTTACTAACAGAGGTGGGCAAGCTGTTAGTTATTTTGCCTGAGGCTGACTCAGTTCTTTATAGCTGTCACAAGGCACCCAGTAGCCTTCCACTAGTCTCCATTGTTCTGCTCCTGTGTCTCAATGCTCTCCATTTTGGTCGGGACCCTAATCCGCTTTTTCATTTACTCACTCTCTCTTCTCCTCGCCATTGCTCCTTTTTTCTTTCACCGCCGTACCATTTTCCCCCTCTCCTTCATCATACTTTTGCACTCACTCTTTCTGTCTACGCTCTCTCTTTCTGTTCTGCCGTCCTTTGCTTTGCACGATCTGCCCAGAAACATTGAACATGTCAACAGTGTTTGTTTGAAATTAGGATTTGGAAGAAGAGATCAAAGATGCCATAACAGGATTACAGTCCCGAATCACATGGGGCCTCCAGGGACCGTCAGGCATCCTTCTCTCTGATGTGTTTGTGTGGAGAAAGCGTTTCTTTGTGTGTATGCCGAGACTCGTCTTTAAGCAGTTTATTCTCTTCATCTCCCTGCGTGAGCATGTTGCCGCGTTTTCTAGTACATTTTTGCATAAGTTTTGCCCAAAATAACTCTTAAGTTTATGTTTACAACTGTGTTTATACGTATTAAAACAAACATATATACAGTATATATGTTTGTGTGTGTATTTATACACTATCTATCCTCATGTCCTCACCCCTTGTATATTTCATCACCAAATGCTGAAGATCCATAGAGTGCCTGGATGTTGAGTGCTCAGAATAAATCCATTGTATCCAGCAGTCTGTTTTCCTGGGGAGTTGCACAGCGGAGGCCCCGTGGTCAGGGTGGAGCCCCGGGGTCAGCCCTACAACCGCTCTGTGGTGCGAGGGGAACCTCCACAGTGTGCTGCATGAGTAGTCATTAGCCGCTTCAGAGCTGTGTCCTCATTACCACACACTGCGCGTGGCTGAGGTTTCCTCTGGGTGGTCCCCTACCAGTGGGGTAACGCCTGTTAAATTGTGCCAACCTCCTGGTAGATTGATAGCATCCTGACCTTTTAGTCTTGAGATTATATAATCTAAGCAGGTTAAAACTTCTTTCCCTTCATTATTTATTTAATTATTTGTTCTATAATTGATGAAGGCCCCTTGGAGTTAAGCCTAGAACATTATGCCCAAACTTGTTGCTGAGCGGTAACAAGGTGTCACTCCCCTCCACTGCCCACCAAGGCGAGGATGACAAAACAGGTGAAAGAGGAGCTGACTTAATGAGATTTGAGTGGATGGCAATGGCAGCCCGCCATGGCGTGGGTAATTATGCGTACACCCGACTTTGGCATACACGCATACATTAGCCTTGCCACCGACGTGCCCTACAGAGCGCAGTAGAATGCTTCGAGGCACATCTTTATGTCTTTCGTGTTCGCTCGATACGCACCAGCGCATCATCACCCACAGCTCTCCAGAATAATTTACCAGAACGTCATTTACGTTGAGTCTGGATTTCAAAATTTTTCCTTTGGTTTATTGGGGAGATACATGAGTATCAAGCTTCTTTGGTCCTCAAAAGACCTCGGCTCTGATTCTGCTCTCTGCCTGGACTGAGCTGAAAGTGATGCTTTGAAGCCATTTCAAAAGTGTTGTTTTTTTTCTTTTTTTCATAACTGCTGTTGATTTTTTTCTTTTTTTCTCCTCTCTTCACTTCGTTTGAAGCCTTGCTGCTGGCCATTCCCCCTGAAGGATAGCTAGTGCCTATGAGTGCTGAACTCGTCAGATGCCGTTAGTTGTGATGCATGACATTTAAACGCCTTTCGTTAATTAACAGAAGGAAAAAAGGCTGAAATGAAATGTTTCTTAGGACATATTGGAAGATGGAACCATGACATTACTGGCGGCACTCCAATTAAAATACTGAGTTTAAAAATACATCTCTGCTCTACACACTGGCTTGACGTTGCAGAATCTGAGAAAGCTGTTTACTTGTCACTTCTTCATGAAAACACAAAAAAGATGATGCTGTAAAATCGATAAGCTGTCCATCTTTCCGTGGATAGACTTAAACATGTTTGTTTGTGGGGTACTTTATAGTGTACAGCTAAATGAAGCAAACTACAAAGGTGAATGTGCTTTAGTTCCCTTAGAATGTCCACATAAAATTATGTGACTCAATATATTCTGTTTTCTTTGGAAAAGATGTCTTGGTCAAGCTTACAGTTGTACCACGCAGAGACCAATTAGATGTTTCTAGCAGCCTAATTAATGCACCCATAAGGATATCTCTTGATTCAACAAACATGCATGCATATATTTTCTGTGCATATCTTTCCTTTTTCTAATGTTCACAGACATGAGCAAATGCTGTAAAGCAAGCGGCTTGTTTTGCTGAACCCAGTCTACCTCAGAACAGCCCTGAAGCTTATGTGAAGAGCACAATCTGCAGCAATTTTCTCAACCAAAAAGGAAACTATTCTTTCAAGACTTATCAAAGTCATAAGCGTGATTCTCTGATATAGCCCGCTTCAGAGCAAGCGAGGCAACTTGCAGAACGACTCAGTCACCACAGATATTAATTGACCGACTGAATCACCAGATTTAGAGAGGGAGAAAAAAAGCGGGCTGTTTGACTTAAAACTTAATGACGAAGAGATTCCATCTGCTGCAGATCATCCGAGTTTGTTTTGTGGCGGAGTAAAAACACACACTCTAAACAGCCCCTCAAGCAGCGCATACTGTAGAGGTTCATTTCGTTTAAGGAATATATTTGACACTCTTATGCGACTTCATTGAGCAAGTCGTTTTTTGTTTTTGTTTTTTTGTTTTCGTCTGATTCGAGGATGCTCGAAGCGGTCACGCTGGTTGTTACTGGGCACATATTTGCTATTTTGAGATTTGAAATTGTGTCCTTCACTGTTTCCTCTGCCTCTTCCTCTTTGGTTTGGTTTTATTCTGTCATAGATGAATACACAAAACATCCTTGCCATAACATCCTATCAGGATAAAAATGGTCCTGAACTCAGACGAGATATTATACATAAAATTATACAAAAACATTAAAATATTACTTTACTATATTGCAGCAAAGACTGTAGTGTTATATAACAGACTTGAATTAAAGCAGTGATTTGCATTTTTAGCTGTCGTATGTATTACATGCCATTGCAAACAATTTGTGTTAAAAATAGGCAAATTGTTCATCTCTACTCATGGCCAAAAGTATGTGGACATCTGAACAGTACTCCATTCAGCAGGACATTAGTGAAGTTGGTCACTGCCTGGATTGTAGTCGGTGTTCCAGTTCATCCCAAAGGTGCTGGGTTGGGTTGAGGTTCTTTGACAAACCATTTCCTTATGGACCTGGCTTGAGCACAGTAGCATTGTCATGTTGAAATAGGAGCGTGCCTTCACCAAACGGTTACCACAAAGATGGAAGAACACTATTGTTGAAAATATAATTGAATGCTGTTGCTCGTACCCTAACATAAATAATAAAATATAGTCCTAGTCTGCTGTAGATAATACGAAACCCTCTTTTGTTCCATTGTTTCTCTGTGTGCAGGTCCAGGAGCCCCAGACCGACAGGCAGCTGATCGAGACGTCTCCAGTCCTCCAGAAACTGACCAGCTTCGAGGACTCTATTGGAGTTTTGTTCACGCATGTGCGTCTTCTGGCCAGAGCCTTCACCTTGAGGACTGTGGGCTTTAACCACCTCACCCTGTAAGTACGGTCAGTGTTTGTTTGTTGATAATGGAGTTACATCCAATTAAAATGCAAAGTGAGGCACGAGTCGGCCAGATGTAATTTGCAGGGATGCTGCAGAACTAGCCAGACTTTGTCTGTTGTTCCCTTCAGAGGTGATGAGGTGCATTATAATATATAATATGATCGGAGATGCCGGGAGTTTTATCATACGTTGAGCATTTTAAATTGTATCTGCTGTGAATGCGGCAGCCTCCTCCCACATCATCATTATGTTTACCCCCTGCAGCTTATACATTTTCTGGCAGTCACTAAGACTGCCTTTATAACAAGTGATGTCATGTTCAGAATACCTTAGTAAAAGATAGCCCCTTTCACTAGTTTTTTTGGCCCAGCGCCTAATCCAGTGGGATGTGTAGTCTGCTTGAACCCGAATGCCTCATGGGAAATGGGGTTTTGATTCACTGAGTTGTCCAAGGCTGAAGGTTTAAAATTGATCTTTTTCATTCATTGCAGCCACATCTGTTATCTGACTGAATGATTATTTTCTCTCATTGAGACTTTTCAGTACAGCTCGTGAACTCCTGGATTCTCGCTTAAATTATAGTTCTTTCATGTGTTTTAAAAGTCCATTGTGTAGGATTTCAGGCAATCTATCGACAGAACATGGAAGTGTGGAATATAGTATTAATTTATCATCATCATTTTTCATTACTTTTTAATCAACTGAATATAAGAATTGTTTTTTCTTTACCTTAGAATGAGCCTCATTTTCTGAGTCCGCCATGTTGAACAGTCATGTTTCTACAGTATCCCGAAACACACAAACCAAACACTGGCTCTAGATACAGTATAAGGCCTTTTGTGTTTTTTGTGAGTCTTGTGGGTCCCGTAGTTTATCACACACACTTGGAAGGGGAGGCTAAGGGCGAGGGGTGTTCAGGGTTTGGTTACAATCTGCATTCTTATCACTAGATGCCACTAAATCCTACGCACTGGACCTTTTTTAATTTCGACCACATATACTATACACAATCCTGCAGTATGCTTTCTTTGCAGAGATATGCATGTGGGTTTTGGGTTGATTTTCTCTCGTTAATCGCAATGTTTCACAGTGATGCTGTGGTCATTTAAGCACTGACATTGAAAGTTTTTTTTTTTTTTTCCTCTCAGCTTTCCACTATGACATGTCTTCAATACCCAATAAAGTTGCAAGCTTCTACAGAGATGACTTAAAATTGATCGGAGAGAAAGCGACTTGGTCTGCTCCTAACAAATATGTCATTATTGTTTGGTGACAGCGTAACCTTGCTTGTTCATTGACAGAATGCAAGTGTGGGAAGATTGCTATTTTCATATGAAAATGTATTACCTAATGAGACTGTTCACTCCAATTTGAAGTGTTTCTGAGTATGAGGGCTATTTGCAATGGAAGCTTAACTCACTTCTGAGCTTTACAACATAACACAATAGTGAGTTTGACAGCTGAAGCAAATTAGCCTTGACAGCATACCTCTGATATCTTATTGGCAGGCTGCACTCTGTAATTGCTTGCTTTGGTTTGCCACAAGGACATTGCTCTGTGTGTGAGTGTGTGTCCGTGGACGTGTGTGTGTGTGTGTATCATGTACACACATTCACACATACAGTACACTGCTGTGTATCTTCTAATCCATCACTTAAATGTCAAACCTCTCCCCACTCATGGTCAGTGAAGTCGATTAGAGGTCCAGAGGTTTGCCTCCCACTGAGCTTTACTTTGAGGACTTTCCAACTCAAGGTTGGTACCAATGTTATTCTGTAACTTGGTGGCATCACATCCAGTAGCTGAACTCACTATATGTAAGGTTGAAGTTTAACTCACAGTATTTTATTGTTATTTTCCTGGAGCAAAAAGGAAAGAATTCCTATATTTTCAGGGTAATTTATGTTCATTAGCTCATTAGTGGCCAAAGGCAGGTTGACCTAAATAGAGCCGACTGACTTGAAAGCTGGAACTGAGCAACGGCTGCCCATGAGGACCAAAGGTTATACCAAAGTAGGTCATGCTGTCGTAATGGAGAGAAGAACGAGGTCAGGGAACTCAAAGGAAGGTTCAGACAATAAGGTAGGCAGCAGATGAGGAGACAGGACCCGGGTTGGCCTTTGGCCTATCACTTTATGCAGAAATAGAGGACAAACTGACCTATGTGAAGACAGCACACAAATAAAGTATGGGAGTTGACCCTGTTGAGAAGCGGTAGAGACTGGAGGCTACCGTCAGACAACAGAAATGGAGAGCTGTGGCCCCCAGGCACTGGGCTTCCTATCTCCTCTCACAGCGGAAGAGCTGGGTGTTGCAAGAATTTCACTGTTGGTGAAAAAAGAATACAACTCTCTTCAAGTTCAGTATTTGTTAAATGAAAGTACATTTCACTGTGCGGCTTGCACAGAGTTGAAAGCTAAAGTAAGTCAGTAAATAAAATGTTTCTGCACTTTGCAATGTTAGAAAGCATGATTTTAAAAAACAATTACATAAACAAACCGCAGTATCACCAGTATAGCTCACAGGCCTCGTTGCTGCTTCATTCTCAAACATCACTGCAGATTATCTCTATTGCCATCATTTAGCAACTAGTTTCAGGTGGAAAATGTTTAAAGATGATGATTCCTAAATAAAATAAGTGCCACTCGGTAAGGTAATTCCTATATTTTACAAGTTACAATTTGGCTTAATTACAGTAAATTACAATAAGGCGAACAGTGCTAGAATATATATATATACATATTTCACCTAGTTTGCTATTTGAAGAAAGACAGTATGCCTTTTAACATTAGGTAGTTCATATAAATAGTTGTCTAACAATTTTATTTCATCCATCCTGTAACTTTAAAGCCAAGGCAATATTTTTCCTCTGCAGCAAAAACACACTTCAGTATAATGTAATCTCAGAGTCTCTTTTAGAAAGATCGTACTAAACGGAAAATGAATGAAGTACCATTTTGAATTCATATTGATCTTTTGATGTAGTGAAATTTATTCTCATACCATACGTTGCCAACAGATTCCTCTTCTATTGTCACTGAGTGTTTGATTCACACAGCTCCACTTGCCCCCCAGTAACACTTTGTAGACAATAGCTGCAGATTAGACATTTGAACCTTATACAAGCATGCACACGTGAAGCAAGAACGTTATTTCCCTAAGAACCGAGAGGGAAAAATGGCCTTAAAAAAATGGAGTGCTCCCCTCTTTCGGAGTGGGCAGCCTGTCGCCGCCTCTTCAGAGGGGCTGTTAAAGGTATTTTAGATCAAAGTCAAAGGCGAATAAAGACCTCGGCTCCACACTTTACTTCAATTTCCCCCACCTTACTGGAGCATTGTGCCTCTGCTGTTGAAGTGAATAAGGGACGGCTCTTTGTGACGCTTCACACAGCGACGCATTCCTCTTTGACCTGCTCTATCTCTCCTTTTCCTCCCTCTATCTCTTCTCTATTTTCCTTTGGTCTCTCACTGTCACTCCACTGTTCCCTTTCTCACTCTGCCTTTTTTTGGACATGAAATTAGCTCACAGTACACCTTCCCAATCTGTTTCCTCCCAGCGTACGCTCTCTGGCATCCGCACATGTACAGTACTGAAGTGCAGGATGAACAGGGAGTTCTCTCGGCCTCCCACTGGCCTTTATTACCCTCCCTCATCCCAACCTCCGCTCTTCACGCTCTCATGTGTTGTGGCAGAGCCTTTTTTATTAAGAAGCTCTGATTATTTTTAATGTTGGGGGTGTGCATCAGGCAGTGTCCCTTCCCTCCTAATGACGCTCAGTTCTGGACCTTGAAGTGAAATAGAAAAAGTAGCTTTTTAAGTTCTTACTTCTCCTGTGTCCCTGCATTAACTGCTCTGCTATCCTTTCCTTTATTTCCTTGTAATAAACATTTAAATATTCAATTGGGATATGACCCACCAGCCAACCCTTCCTATTATATAAAACTACACTTGACTAGTGCCGGATCAGTCGATAAATTGATTAGTCGATCAATCAACATTGATGTTGGTAATCGATTGTTTGTAATTTATTTAGCACAAATGCCAAACATTTTTTATGTTGTCTTTTTAAATGAAGCATTACCTAATATATTCTATTTTTGTCAACAGTATCATGGGTCACAGGTATGTGTTTGGATGGCAGTTGGCAGAAAGTTTTTGTACACTTCCAAAAGTGCTGTTGTTGTGGTTTAAGTGACGAGAATTTATTCATTTTCCCCCTCCTCTTACGCCTTATTATACAACAATGTGGGTGAAGAGAAGTGATGATGGAAGCAAGAGTCCTCTATCAGGGAAAAAGTTTGGGGGAGGGGGTGGGGGTCCTCCTCAGAATTACTGTTCTTTAGAGACTCCATGATTGCTAAGTTTTATATAATAAGAGCTCAAACAGTTAACAGATTATTTGATTGAAAGAGAGGTTATTGAGTCTTTTCTTAAAGATCCCCTGTAGACACATACAAATAGAGCCTTTTTTTCTTCCCTTCGAGATCTATCCTACTTCACTGTAAAGTCCATTCTTAGTGTATGTGCTCTGGCAGCTTTGAGTTTCTACATCAAACTTGTAGAAGCTGCATGCAGAAATACTGGATATTTTTAAATGGAGTAAATTCCTGTTTCTTACATATGAACATTCACCGCTCCCACCTTCTCAGGTGAGAGTGAGAATTAGCTGTTTTTCTCTGTTTTATATAATTGTAAATCGAATTTCTTTGGGTTTTAAACTGTTGGTCTGACAAAAAAATAAACTTAAATTAACTTTAATTTTTTTATGTACTAAACATTTAGGCAACAGAAGAAATAATGAAGATCTTAATGATAACCAAAATACCTGACCATTGCAGCCCTGCTGAAGACGCTTTGCCGTTTCATTGAGCCTTTAACACACTTTTGATTTGCTGCGGCCCATAAAAGGCAGAAACGGCAGAAAGCGGACAGTAAACTTTGACCTTTTTCTCGCTCTTTGATGTCAGCTTCCTCCTCATCTTCTACCTCTGCATCTTTTTCTTTCTCTCATCTTCAGATTTCCCCCCTCCTGTGAGGAGCTCATATCTATAGATGGATATGTGCTCTGCTGCTGCATATACCTCCCTGCTTGTATGGTGCTCACTTACGCCGCCCCCTACCCGACGCTTCCTGCCTGCCTGGCACAGCACCAGCCCACATCTGCAATGCTAATCTATAATTCTGTTTAATTAATGACCTGCCTTTCACTGATGGGGGAAAAGGCAGGAAGCTGATGTACAGTATCACAGCACTGCCATTAGATTTTTCTAGAAATTGTTAGGTTGAAAGTTGTTCTCTAAACCTGTGTGCACGCTTGCTGCTTTTATGGGCTTAGGGTTTTGACAGGCACTGCTGCAGGTGTAGCAGAGGTTTTTTAAGCATGTATTTTTCTTCCGTTTTTTCCATTTGAATTGCAATCAAATCCTGGCGTTTTTCTTCAGAAGGGCTCCTACTTCAGGCAGCCTCCGAATTGTCACACAGCCTGTCAGTGCAGCTGTTCCCTGAGGCCACCCATGAAATGTACATCAGCCGACTTCACCGTTTCTGTTGAAAGACTAAAAGCTTGGTACATTTGTCGAGAGAGCATGATGCCTTTCATGCCCCGGTGATGTGTAGCTGAATAACCTCACGTGAGACCCTCCCTGTCCTCTCTTTTTAACCCCTTTCTCCTTGCCATCCCACCTCACCCCTACCATTTCATCCCCCCCATATCCTTAAGTAACCTTGTGTGTCACTCACTCATCTTTTTTCCCTGTTGTTCATCTTTGCTTCCTTTTTTCCAGAGGCCACAACCAGAGGATGGAGTTCCTGGGAGACTCTATCATGCAGCTGGTGGCCACAGAGTACCTCTTCATCCACTTCCCTGACCACCACGAAGGACATTTAACAGTAAGATCAAATCGTTTGCTCATCAAAGGCTCCCTACCCGCCTACTTTTTACATCTACATCTTTGCACTTCTGCTGTCTGAAGATCCTCGCCGTTACACAAGTTTACCTGAAATGAAGTTACAGCTGTGCTTTTTGCTTTTTGTGTGGGTGATTTTATTTTCCCCTCCCTTCCTTCCCATCAATCTTTGAATCTCCAAGTGCCAACCAGGCATTCACCCCCTTCCTCCTTTGCTTGTTTCCAGAAAATAACACTCTTCCACTCCTTACCTCACACTGTGCCTGTATGTTTACTGTACTCCTTGTGATGGGTATTGTCATGAGACAGAATTGTTCAGTGGTTTTCAATAACACATCTTTGTCTGCACTTTTTTTGCCGAAGCTGTCAAGTGTCTGAAAAATAAAGTTGAGTGTGTGCAAACTTGCACGGCTTGTAACACAGGTACAAAGCAAATGATCACACTTTGAACGCGCAAGTCCATTTTCTGACGGCGTCAGATGGCATTACAACTCGCTCTTTTCATTCGAGCATCAATGCTTATCTTCAGAAGACTGACTACTCGAGGCCAGAGGGATTGAACTGGTCTTAAACTGCATAAGGAAACCATTGCAGTTAGATATTTATTTGTGGATATTCCTTTATAGATGGAAGCTGTGACGTCATTTGTTTAAAAGCTTCCAGCAAGCTTTCGTTGAGAGACTGAAAGCTCCTGCAATGCCAATGCCCAAGAGTCAAGATGGGGTACATCTGAAATGGATTTCAAATCGGGGGGAAAAAAGTGCTCATTCAACCAGTGTGTGTGTGTGTGTGTGTGTGTGTGCGTGTGTACTGTAAAGGAGGGCACATCACAGCAAGACAGATTCAGACAGTCATATTGCATTCTATTTGCTCTTTTTTTTCACATCTTGTAGCTATATTTAACATGTTTTTGTTTTTCCTTTTAGAGACGTAAATGTACCTTACCCAGTCTAACATGTTGTCATCCTCTAAGCTCCAAGTCGCAATGTAATATTTAACAGAGCAACGTGCAATCACCCTGAAACATTTACTTTTCATTACCATTTCTGTCTTTGATGAATTATTCCATGTGGGTTGATGTTTTTTTTGTACTTCTCTATTTCCATGTTAGCGTGTGTCTGTCTCTGTGTAGAGTTAGCATGGCTATATGTTGTTGACCTTGAGTACATTTCTGACAGGGGGACATTTAAATGCGATGCCCGTTGTGTTTGTCCATAGCTACTCCGCAGTTCGCTTGTGAACAACCGCACGCAGGCCAAAGTGGCGGAGGAGCTGGGCATGCAGGATTTCGCCATCACCAACGACAAAACCAAACGACCAGTCGCACTACGGACCAAGACTCTGGCTGACTTGCTGGAGTGTACGTTCACAGCTCTTCAATTCATTTGCAGAAGTATAAAATGAAAAGATAATCGTGTAGACCTTTTTAGACCACTACTAAACCTTTTTCTAGTAGGTCTTTCAAGAATGTGCCGTTTAAGATGGCAGCAAGTACCATTATTGATTTCTTTGCTCCCTTTGTGTTAAATGTCAAACACAGTCACTTCTCTGCTGAAGACACTGGAGGTTGCCCCCCTATGTGCTTAGTATGACTGGAGTAGTTAGTGATGATTTCTTTCTTTGTTTTTCTTTTAATTCCACCAGCCACTACTGCCACAACAATTCCCTTAATTAATAAGCTGCTGGTGGTATTCTACCAGCTTAATAGTTTTCTTTTTAACAGAATAAGACATCCAGAGAATGCTTAGTAAAATAAATGGATGGCAGAATAGTCACATTTGGCATCTAAAGAGAAAATTAGCGGCTTTGGTCGTTCAATCCATCCTGCTAGAGAGTCTCATAACTGAAATTAACAGTGGTAGCTGTGCACCAGCCTCACTACTCTTTACACACTGAGTGTTAGTTTCTAGATAATTCTTAACTAAGTGAGGGGGAAAAAAGAAAGTGAATAACAGTAAAATGAAGAATAAGTGCTCCAGGGCAGTAGCATTGATTCGGCAGAACTTAATGCTTATATTTCAGAATTTGTTTTAATATGTTATACATTATAATGAGAACAAGTGTTAGAGCGCCTCTTTCTCATCATTTCTCATATTTTCCTATGTATGTTTGTGGGTGGAAAGCCTTTCAGTGATCATGTCATGCCATAGTGACTTCTCAAGTCACACTCATTCCCATACAAAGTAGCAGGTAAATTGTAATTCCCAATCAGTAAGTTGTGTTATGTTAGCTTATTTCAGATATGTCTTATTAGATGTGTCAGCCCATGAGAGACAAAAAATTACAAAAAAGAAATGCCAAAATGTGTTTAGGATCATTACAAAACAGTGTTTAAATGATGTAGTTTATTTGACTGTAAAATGTAACACTCAGCAAATATCGTGGTCATCATATACCATAAACATTTTTTGAAGGGAAAGATCCATTAAGTCTTGGTTTCGGCTAGAAAAATCCAATATAATGGATACTTCTCCTTCAAATTTCGAGTTTTATTACATGACCTGCTGATATGAATGCATAATGTCCCCAAGTCAGTATAAAATAAATGGTAGGTTCTTCTTTTATTCATGGCTGCGTATGGGTATAAAATCGAATGCATTTAGCTTGAGAAAAAGTTATGGTTGCTTTAATTTCAACTTTTTTTAATTTAAACTTTACTGCATTTTCAAAACCACAACTAAAAGGCAGTGTTGGATAATTAGAGGCAAGAGTGGAGAGAGCAAGAGTGTATGGGTGTTATTGGGAGATCCCTTGCAATCCACTCTAAGCCAACAGAGGGTGCCAGCAGTGACAGGGACTGTAGTACAAAGGGAAAAGACAATAGACTATTCCAGATTGTCAGTCAAAGTGGAAAAAACTGGGGAAAACAAAGGGAGAAAAAAAAAAAGCACTGATGCTTTCCAGGTCAGCATTCAATGGGCAGACCTTAATACATAAGCTTTATGTCATTTGCCTTTCAAATTATCCTTCAAGGTTTGGGCCAGAGCAGAGTTGATGACACAGGAAGGGAGACGAGGGTCAGTGCTGGAAATGAGTGCAGCTCTTGCGCATATGAACAGTCGTGCCCTGCAGCTACAGCAGACCCTCACTGGCCTGCTGAAATATTACCTATTATTCCTCTCTCATGTCCCACTGTCTTAGTCACGGAGATGAGTAAATGCTCTGGCAGCTAATAGAAGAGGAAAACAAAAGGACAGCCCTGAGATGAAGATGACACCCAGCACCTACCGCTTACATTTCAAATCTTTTTCAGTTCACCTAGACCTCCAGTTACTCTCCATTCAGCTTGACATACAGTTTTATCTTGTATATTATACTATATACGTTTCTGTGAACTCTATGTGGCCCTCACTATACCAATTTCCTGTTTGAATGAAAAAGGCAAGGAACTACATAGGCATCTTTTCCAGTTGTTTACATTAATACCACGTCACTTGCTGTCGAGAGCCACAGCTGAGGTCTTTGTTTTAATGTTTTATTTACTTGAGGAGCAAGCAGAGAGCCAACTGTTAAGTGGAGCAGAAAAAGAAGCCATTCATCAACTACCACGTTCTATTGCCATATGTTTTTTTTTTTATACATGCTCTCTTTATTTTTCTTTCTGCAGCTTTCATTGCAGCCCTCTACATTGATAAAGACCTGGAGTATGTGCACACCTTCATGAATGTCTGCTTTTTCCCACGGCTGAAGGTGAGCCCCTATTCATAGCTATTCACCACTCGCATCTGATCAATAAGCCGCTGAGCCGGGCACCTCAGAGAGAAAGAACCAGGGAGACGATGATGAGGAGGGAGCTAATGGCTGGGCCCTAATGGTGCCAGCATTGACGCAAGGCCTGAAGTGGTGCTCGGCTGTTGAATGCCTCTCGCGACGGCGGCTTGATCGCTTTTTTAGTCTTCTTTAACGGAAATCGCAGCAGCGTTTTTGGTGATTTTCTATGGGTCCGAGAAGTGCTTGGGCTGTTAATGGTGTCCACTTCTGGAGTGTTCCAGGAGTTGGATAAATCGAGTAAGCTTCAGTCAAGACTCCCATGGCCAGATATAAGTGAGGAAGGACAGGCATTTTATTCTCAAGCACCACTGGATTGTCCAAATTTAGATAGAAGAGCTCTAAGACACAAACTATCACACACACTCTTACACCTAAACAGGCATGCGCACGAGTGTGCACACACACATGCTCATGTACGGGTACCCACACAGCGTGGACCTCTCCTTGTGAAGATGCTGCAGTGGTCTGATATGCCATGCTAATTGCTGTCTTGGTGTGCCTCTCCAGGGAGAATCCCTAGCTCTGGAGGAGCTGAGCTTTGCGTCATGGTCGCTGCAAGAGAGCACCTCATTTCCACTTCCAACAGAAAAGTTGTGAAACAGCCAGCACGTCTCCTTACATAGCCTCCTGGAAACCACAGCGATGCACACTGTGCTTCTTCATCCAATTTGGATGGAAATAGAGAGGCAAAACCAGGGACATACAGGCTCTTTTCCTTATGTTCCCTCCTTTTCCTTATGAAAAGAGCGTAGCCACTGTATATGCTACACTCTTTTCAAAACAGCCTAATTTCTCTGCTTTAGGCTAAAGGGGTGTAGTTGCCCCCCAGAGGGAGGAAAAGTGGGAAGGAGAAAAAGGGAAGTAAAGCGCGAAAGCAAGAACAGCGGAGATGGAGGGTTTGGGGGGCAGTAAAGCGAGAGAGTAAGAGAGCGCGAGCAACAGAAGCAGAGGCACTCTTTGTAGAAAATTAATAGGAGCAGACAGTTCTGGATTCAAAGTCTGCCTTTTTATGACAAGGCTGCTTCCCTGTTAATGGAAGGGCTTTTAGAAGTCCCCCTTGGATAAGAGAAATGTATCAGGGCAGCACACCTGGGAGACTCCCAGACGCTCTTTATATCTGGCCGGGGATTGGCTTTTGTCTTAAGTAGCCTGTGATTTGTACTCACCGTGAAGACTCAGATGGAGAGCCAGTCAGGGAGAGAGCAAATAAGTGAGTGCAGAAAGAGGGGGTAAAAATGGTGTAGAGGGTCATGGCAAGAATGAAATAAAAGCATGAGCGACTGAGGGAGAGAGTTTGCAACTGCGGCTCATTTTTGTTTCTTATTTTTTTTGTTAAAAGAAGTTTGTGAAAGCAGAAGGTTGACTACGTGCGCGGTGTGTTTGGTTTGTGTGTTGCAGGAGTTCATTCTGAACCAGGACTGGAATGACCCAAAGTCTCAGCTGCAGCAGTGCTGTTTGACCCTGAGAACGGAGGGCAAGGAACCTGATATCCCGCTGTACAAGTAAGACCCCAGAAATCACAGAGACACACCAGCTATTTGAAGCTAGCACTGATGTTCTATTTCAGAAAGTAAAACAAGCAGACTGACAGCGACTTTGCTATCACACTAAAATCAATTTAAAAGAGCTTTTTTTTTAATTAAAGAGTAGCTCAACTAATTCTTCGGAATCCACAACCTTTTAATGGTAGAACCCACAAGCAAAACTGTCAGTTTGGCTGTGGTCTAATAGACGTTAAAGCATATATATGCTGCAATATATATTGTATTAAATAAGAATCGGGCAGTTTTGGAGCCATTCTGAGATTTGCCCCCTGTAACCTAAACCTGTGCAGACCCTCATGTCTGCTTACACTGCGCATAGAAGGCAAGTGTTGATGTCCCTTTTTTACAGCTTCACCTGAACGTCTATATTTGAGATGGGTTCAGTCAGCCATCACATGGACTGCAGTACACATTCAGCGAAATGAAATGGCACAAACATGATTTACAAGACTTTTCTCCTTGCCATTGGTCCCTGAACATTGTGAATAGCTGTGTAAAGGTCTCTGTTGTTGTGATAAATAAACATGCCCAAAGAGACCCCTTATTTGACAAAAGGTCAAGGAGCAAGTGTCATTTGACAGAATGCTTTTGAGAGCTGCCATGAAGCAGTGTGTTTGTCACCATGGAAACTGACAAACAGTGTTTTCTCTGAGAAAAAAGGGGGTCGGCTGGACGTGCAAGAGCGGTTGGAGATGGAGCAGTTCTCTGTACAATGAACTTCACAATCTGGCATTTAATCAGTCCCTTCTTCCTCCCTTTTTTCTCTTCCTTGTATTTATTTGGATGTTTTTTTCAATGCTCTTCTGTTTATTATTCAGTCTATCTGCGCCACTGATGGTGATTTTTGACACAGCACAACTCTGACACTACAATCAACACTTCCCTCCAACTCTATTGCCCACGAGAACGTGAACGAGAAACAAATGGAGCTTCTGGCTGACTTGAATCTTAACATTTTAGCTCACACATTTGTACACAAGAAAATAAGAAAAGGCTAGGTACCGACGAATTTGAGACTTTCGCCACAGCTTTGAGTGTAATTACCACTTTGTTCCTGATCGACGAATACACAGGAGCAGCTGATAATCTTGAGCACGTACTCATGAGATAACCTGACCTGTGGGTCGATAAAACCAGCTTGTGCACCTTTTTATAGCGTTTCATACAGCAGCAGATTGCTTCCATTCTGTAAGGGGTTCGTCTGACTTTGTTTACAAGTGTGGACAGTAAAGAAACATAGGGTGAGCTAAAAGTGTGAGCCAGATGGAAACGGGCTAAATGACCGAGGGCAGTAAAGGACACGGAAAACGGGGAAGAAAAAGAGTTAATGCATCAACCCCCCTGCTAAAGGGTTCCCTAGTGAATGTGTCTGGTTGATGACAGATTCACACCTCAACCCCAGCACCATCACTTTACTGTACATCTCGTCTGGGCAGGACACACCAGGGAGCAGACACATACACACTTTCACATTGTGCAGAGAATGGCCCGAGTCAGTAAGTAGCTGCTTGTAGTGAGAACTGAAGCTCGTACAGACCCTCTACGGTGCTGTTTCTTCTCCATCGCACACTTCCATCTGTGTGCAGCCTTGAAGTTGACAACTTCCCAACAGCTCACAGATTTCCTTTTTATTCCGTCTCTCGTTTTGTGTTATTTCAGCGGCGTGATAATTCCAAGTGACACGCGCTCCCTGTTGAGATTTGGCTAAAACATCGTGCACAAGAGTCTTATTTTCTCCACACATGCAATGTGCTTCTTCATTTGTAAGTGAGAAAGGGGGCTGAATTATTGATACAGTGTCATAAGTGACCACATTGCATTAAAAATGGATTGCTCTCCTGAAATAAGTAAATTGTCTGTGAATAATTTAGGTGACTCACAGCTTGGGTTTGAGATGTTTATGCTAATGTTAACATTTCAAACATCTCCCAAGTTTTGTCTGCCGTCTTGTACATATGTCCCTGCAGAAATGCAACCAATTGACAGCTTATCTTTTTTTCTTTTTTTTTTTAAATGAGGTACATCTGTAAATTAGTTGAGCGATATTCTCTTGTCATCTGTCTCAGATTTCTTGGTCCCTCTTTAGCTTTTTCATTGTTTACCCTTCTAGCGCACCAAAGACTCATGGGTCCCTCAAAAGCTATTGTCATTCTTTTATTTCAATTCCTCTTCCAACATGTCATTTTTTTATATTTTTTTTTCCAAAAAAAACAGATCTTGGTATCTGAAGATGATGGGTGTGGGGAGTTGGGGAGGCTTTAAAAGTTGTTTATATGTCCCTCAGATGGCTTCTGCGTGTTCTCAAAGCACACTACTAAATCAAAGCGTTATTCCCTTCCTCTCAACCCGCCGCTTGAGATGAATTATTTGTTCCAATTGAAAACCTTTTTTTTACCTCCCTTTTTTCTTGTTATTTCTCTGAAGGACAATGTCCCCGAGTGTCCTTGTGCCTTTCTCCTGGGTATTATTATTATTATTTCTCAACTCTACCCTCCTTTCTCACATCCCATATTTCTGTGTTTGAATTTGCAGGACCCTGCAGACAGTGGGGCCTTCGCACGCTCGCACCTACACCGTCGCCGTGTATTTCAAAGGGGAGCGAATTGGCTGTGGCAAAGGCCCAAGGTGAGTAAGACAGTACAGTACAATAAGACATGATGGGACGAGGCGCTCCACTTCTCAGTGCGCCGCTAATGGGCTCGAGAATAATGGCTGTGCTTTATTGATGGTGTTTATTATAGCAATTAAGCTCTTGTTGGCCTATTCTATCGGGAGAGACATTATGCAGAATGAAAATGAATCGATTCATTATTGATTTGACGTAAATTGTGTTATGGAAATATCACTTTGTGCAGGAGAAGAGTCTGTGACCAGGCGACACTGCATCTGGGGCTGCATTTAGGTCTACCTCTCCCTGGGATGTTGTGCTCACAGCAGGACAGGGATGTGTGTGTGTTTGTGGGTGTATGTTTGTGTTTGACTGCACACCTTTGTGTGTGCTCACACATTGACGCTTTTGTAAAGTAAAGAAAGTGAATCAGTGCGCGGAAGCCTTTTCAGGGTTGGAGGGGTTGACAATAAAGCTGCAGCTGAGCCTGCGAGAAATGAAACCTAAATCCATCAAACATCTTCCAACCCCCCCAGCCCCCCTCCACATGTGGAAATCCCCTCCACAGCCCCCTGCTTGAAAGCGCTCTCTCTTGCTCTAAGCTGGCGATAAGTTTGTCCCTTCCATAGGATCTTTGACAGCTTACTGTTTTTGTATTTACATGACTTAAGCTCCCAGCCACCTCCGCTGCCTGGCTATGATCACACAGCACATAATATATACAGAGGGACGGCGAATTGCGGGCGTAAACAGTGCCCAGCGCCGAGCCGCCAATAGGCTTACCTTTTTGAAATGTGTGCACTGTGTTACCTGGGATTGTTTGGCAAAAGGGCTCATTCAAAACAAATATAAAGCACTTTTGATAATCCGCTCAATATTGGGCCTTTTTTTTTTTTTTTTGACAGAATTTCAGAAAAGGGACATTTTGAATATGCTAAAGACCTTTTCTCCCTGTTTCTGTCTCCCTCTCTGTCTCCTTTTTCAAATATTTCTAATCTAGCATCCAACAGGCGGAAATGGGAGCTGCGATGGATGCGCTTGAAAAATGTGAGTTGTTTGGCAACACGAACCCCTCCCCTCCACACACACACACACACACACACACACACACATACAGATATTCACACTTTAAGCCTTTCACACGCTTTGCCTTCAGTGTTGAATATTAGCCTTGGCTGTACAGTATGCAAGATGGCTGGCAGAGAGCTGCGGCCTGACCAGCCGGTTGGCTGCGACATATAGGACATTAGGCTGTTTGAAGTGCTAGCCCAGAGCACAGGCATGGGGCCTAGCCAGGACCATGGAAGCTAAGCGCCCTCGACCATGTCGATCATCTCGAGGGACCACAGGAAGTTTGTGTCAAGGGCCGTGCAAAGTTTGTAATTTTTTTTTTGTTGCGTTTTCGAGCCCTTTTACAGACCACGAGAGCGAGGCTTCACAATCTGAGCGACTCTCTTGTGCTCAGCACTCCTCTTCAGATGTGAACGAGTGCAGTTGACGTGCTCCCTATGTGCTGCTTCACTCCTTGGCTGTTTTTCATCTTGTCATCAACCACCACTTAAGGAAAATAGATAGTGGTTTTTAGGCATTTACAATGTCTCATCCACTGCCAAGTAAAAATACAATTACAGGGCTCTCAGAAACACATCCACGAGCCATTTCCATCATCTCCCATTCGCCTCTTATTCGCAATGCATATGTATGTGGAGGCATAATATCATAGATTACACTGAATGTGTTGGAGGTGGGAATGTGTTCAAGTGCAATTTTTGGGCTGGACTCTTGCTATCCTTGTGACCACCGCATTAATCAAATGTACAATTTGTTCTTTACTCGACTAATTAGCTGGAGGTGAACACAAATGGCTTTGTTGGAACAGGACTACAGAACTTGCAAAGGGCAGGAAGGTCATACTTTGATTTCATTTGGCTCATAAATGAGGCCTCCAGCCACTTGTGATTGATACTGTTTGTGCTCCCAAGCTTTAACTTTTTATGAAACATTAGCGCAAGGGTGTTATTATTTAAAGCCGTTCTCTCTGTCTGCTTCTGGCTCCCCCTCTCCCTCACCTCCCTCCCTCTTTATCAGGGGGCGTAGTTCAGTGCACACAGTCTCTCTCCTGTGTCTTCCTCCCTCTCTTAATTCCTCCCATTTCCTCTCCCCAGTGTACACCTCTGTCACCATGATTGATAGATGCTCATTGCTAGTAAATGAACATTTCCCTCGTCATAAATTGCTGTTTCATGTGACTAGATTAGCAATGCCTTTTAAAAGGTCAGTTGATTTAAAATCATCTTTTCAAGTCTTCCTTCCTTGGGTGCAAAATGCTTCCAGTTTTGAGGGCTTTGTTTGACTTTGTACTGTCACTTAATTTAAACCCTAATTTACAACTCACCCCTCAGCTCGATGTACTCTTTTCTTTCTTCCGCAGTACCTGAGGTGAGCCTGTCAATTACATGATTTTAATAAATTTTTTAGAGAGAGAGAGAGAAAATGCAGATAGGCATTAGCAATAAGGTGCTAATATTATTTTTTTAATAGAAAAGAAATACGTCTTAGATTTTTCAATCAACATTTTTCATTTACAAGGTAAAAATCATTTGCGGTTTTTCTCCTTTATATTATCGAAATTAAATATCTTTCTGTTTTGGACTGTTTATCAGACAAGCTCTGGAAACTTACTTTCTAACTTTTATCCAGAATGACTAATTAATAATGAAAGTAATCATTAATTTGGAACCCCAATGTGGTTGCACCTGGCTGAAGAATCTCATCCAGTGAATTGTTGGTTCTGCTTGAACACATCTCTTCCACCATCCATCATTTACAGATAGCGCTCATTATTTAGAGGTCAGTTTTTATCACTTCTGTGTAAGAAATTTGGAGCTTTCATATTCTATTATTCCATTGAGTGTCTTCTTTTTGAGATAAATATGCAAGGTCAGTCAGCAGGGTTCAAACACGCCTTTGAAGGATGTGCATGTCTCCTGGCCATGAGTTTATGTAATGAGACTCGAGCTCATCTGCTGCAGAACCGCCTGACGCATCAACTCCTATTGCCGCATTGTCTCTCATGTGATTGTCAAGGGCCTCGCTTCATTTGTTCGCATAGCAAGACTAATCAAGGACATTAGCCCCGGTGTCATGTAATTCGTCATTGATTGTCTTGTTGGCCCTCACTGCAGCATTGGCTACACCATTACTCCTCTTGTACAACAGCCCTACCTTGTGTTACTGTCGGATCGAAAACACCTCCCCGCAACGTGTCAGGATTCATTTCCATGTTTTATTTAAGGCCTCCTCGAGTATCAGCAGCACTTTGAGCAAGATTGAACTTTTTGTTTCTGCTGCAGCGCTTTTCCTGGCAGACAGAATCCACGGCTCCAGCGGTGTCGAAGAGGTGAGAGACATGGCTGTGTTCAGTCAGACAGCTCAGAGCTCATTAAAGAGATCGGGGGCCCAATATTTGGTGTGTGTGCTGTCTGTAGCCGATCCACTGGTGGCTCAGCTGATTCACATTTCATTATTTGATGGCCCACGTTTTGACAGTCTCCTGCCTGTATCTGTCAAGGCAGAATTAAATGTTAACCAAGGCCCAGACTGGGAGAAACATGAGCGCAAACAAATCGAGCTGAGAGCAGCCAGGTAGGGGAACGGAGTCGACGGAAGGAAGAAGTCGGTGGTGCAGAGTTTCCCTGGCCCTGAGGCTCCATGCACCATGCGCCGTTAGGTCTAAGGCGACATCAAATATACATGGAAATGGCTTAACCATTTATCATTCATCCTTTCAGATAGTACTGTCTCTGTTTAAAGTCTCCAATCTCTCTCTAAGACTCAACCGCCTCCCATTCCCATTTTTTTTTCAGCTTCCTTGCAGCTGCTTGTTTCTCAAACAATGCAATATCTGTTGAATAAGAGAAGGAGCCTCGATTTGGCTAGTCGCTGGAAGGGGACTACATTTCTTCCTCAGCTTTCTCTAAACCCTTAATCTCCGGATAAAAGCCTTGGATGGATAGAGGCAAAGTAAAGTACAGTATGCAGGATCTCTATTCAATGGCTTGAGTCTTTTGTTTGCCCTTTGGCATGGCAGGAAAATCCCTTCATCAGCGCCACTACACTGGCGCACTATTGGCTTGTTGACGGATGTGGTGCGCGTGAAGCTCTAGGTGATAGACTCAGACGGCGCACTCCTTTGTGGAGTCGCCTCACAGCCCGAGCTTAGGCTGAATAGTGAATGCCTAAGTGAAAGGACACTGTATGTTCTTGTGCCCTTAAAAGGGGAGCTCATCCCTCATCACAGATTCCACATCCAGCTGCTGTGTGAGCGCGCATTTCAGCGCTGCCGTCAGTGGGCACAACAGGCCACGTTGTTGCCGAGGCCCCCCGACCGCCTCGCTGCTCCAAAAGCAGCTACGCCCCAGAAATCTCAAGACCGCAACCTCCGTCCTTGAGAGGAATTACTGCATTGTCGATAAACAAAAGACCTGAGCCGAGCTAAGTGCGTTAACGCCTTAACCAAAGGTAATCAGTATGCAGAGTGCGCCGTTCCTCAAAGGTGCTTTTCTCCAGAACACTGGACGGCTGAGAATTCTCAATATGTCTTTGCGATGCCCAACACAGACTGGAATGAAAAGCCTTGTGTATTCTTTAGCAACCCAATTCTTTGACGCATGTTAAACAATGTAAATGGCCAAAGCTTTTTTTATTTATTTTTTCCTCTCGAGTGGGTTATTCTCAAGTCTTATCCCAGGGAAAATGCTGGTGATTTCCATATTTTAACTGCAATATGTAGTTTTCTCTCCAAGGCTCACCAAGTGTTCCTTACTCACCGAAAGCATATTGAAATAGACTGTGTGTGTTTCTGTGTGTATCCATGCATGTGTGTGTCTCAAATTTCCCCCAGAATCATTTTTTTTTCTCAGTGCATTCTTTCTTCTGGATTTTTTTTATTTGATCGTCTCCTTTTTAATAGGATATTGCCGTTATCTTGCACTTTTGCTCTCCGTTGCCATAATGACGACTTAAGAGTTTTGCAAGAGGAAGAATACATCCTCCTCTTCTATTCACAAGTCAAACACATATGTAATGTCCTTTGCAGTTTTTACCATTTACCATGGGAGATTTAGCCAATTCCTCCTGACAATCAGTTTAAGAATGTATTGTTATTAGGCCATGAGTGAGGCCAAACATTTTTTTTTGTCCATAAATATAGATAGAAAACTGTGAACAATACCTTACAGTTTCCTAGAGCTCAATGTACTGAGCTTAAATTGGAGTTTTGTATGACCAAGAGTCTAAAATCTGAAGATATTTCATTTAAAATGATATAAAATACTGAAAATAGGCAAATCTTTAAGGTTGAAGTAGCCGGAAACTAAAACATTCATTCATTTAACACAGGGAACAAAAATACGCTTCTGACTATGATTATTATTAGATCTTGGATTAAGCATTCTTTAAATAAACTGTTTTCAAATGACTGATTTGCTCCAGCAGATGTTCAGATGGATAATGTGTCACTCCCGACATGTGAGAACCATTTTTACTTCTGCTCATGTGGTGTGTTTCTCCGACCGTGTATAGGGGTCTGTAGCGGTGGGACAGTGGCCGTTTCCAAAAAAAACACAATATCCACACCAGATAGTTAAATAGTTGGCTCAAACCCTAAGGTGTCATGTTATCAGCCGTGAGTCCACTGTCTGGACAATAGTAATAATTAAATTTTCCAATTTATCGGAGGATAATATTCCCTATCTGCCCATGATACAGCACAGGCCCCGAGTATTTCGACAGTGACGCATTTTCTTTTGTTTTGGGCTCTGTACTTCTGCACATTGGATTTCAAATGAAACAGTGTGAGGTTAAAGTGCTGACTCTCAGCTTTAAGGGTGTTTGAGGATGTTTACATCCATGCTGGGCAAACAGTCTAGACCTTTGTGGACCACAGTCCTTCCAATGTTATAAATCCTAAACAAACAACCAAAGAAAACAAGGTGTTTGTTTATGACCCAATAGTTGGATGGTCCTGAAAGAGTCCAAAAATGTAATACGATATTAATAAGTACGTTTTTCATTACTCTACAATCAATTGAAAATAAGAATTGTGTTTTCATTATCTTAGAATGAGATGTTTTTATCTCAAGAGGGAGTGGGTCCTCTTTCACGGAGGCCGCCATGAAGGACCACCATGTTTCTACAATAGCCCAGAACGGACCAAGCAAACAGTTTTTTTCGCAAATTACTACTATAGTTTCTCAATTTCGGTATTCAGTCGGTTGCAATCTGCAACTTCACTGGTAGACATTAAGACATTGTATAAGGAGTATGGTAGACCTGCTCTATTTAGTGTCCTGAGATAACTTGTGGTATGTGACTTGGCTCTATACACATAGAATAGAATAGAATTGAATTGAAAAGTCTCCAAACAACAGCCGCAGCAACTGGCAGAGCTTTACCAGAGAAGATAAGTGTGTGCTTATGTCTGTGGGTCATTGACTTCAGCAGACATTTACAATCAACGGTAAATACAATAACTTTATCCAAGTATCCGTTATTATCTTCTGCTCCTTTTAAAAGAGCTACAATTCTTCCTCTGACGGATTAAAACTGAAAGTGTTCTTACTTTACCTCTGACCTCTTATTTCAAACTCAACATGCTGAAGTACTAAGCCAAAACATTATTATGTATTATAATAAACCACTAACAGGAAGGTCAAAATGAGAACTATTAGAAAATAATTAGAAAACATGTGATGTCCTTTCCATTTTACCATCACAGACTGACAGAGACTCATATGGGAAACAGTATGGAAAGACTGATTTTAATTTGTTTAGGTTTGCATGGTCACAGTCAGCGACCGGAAAAACTGCACAGTCATATTTGTGTCTCAGCGAGTTGACACAAGCCATCGGGCATCCGTCATGCGTGCTGTTTTCAAATGAAGTGTGCAGTGGGTAGACCCAGTAATGTAAACACTTACTGGAAAATTACCTATGCTCTGAATATCAAAATTCCAAACTGCTACCTGGTAGGTCATTGGGTTGACCTGAGCTCCCGCTTATGGCTGAAAACTAAAGCCAAGCATAGCTTTTCAGTGAAATCCAAACATTTACAAACTGGGTGAATTATTCACTAAACACAACTAAAGAATAAAATGTTTCTTGATGGGTTAGGGAATTTTGAATTAGAGCTGAAAAATTCTCTTCAATTTTTCAAGCAAAATCTATCATTGCAAGTAAAAATGCAAAAAACGTTATTTGGTTTCAGTTTCTTAAATGTGAATTTTGCTGGTATTCTAAGCAAATTTTAGGTGCATTTTCGAGTATATCCTTGATTGCCAGGAGTCCTAACCTATCAGTCTATCATTGCGTCTGACACTGACAGCCGTCATTGAATCCACCCAGCCTCACTCTCTTTTTACCCATATCCGGGTTGTTTCTCTTTAGAAGCTCTAAAGCCAATACTACATTCATTTATTTCTACACTTTAATGGTTGACAACAAGTAGTAGTATTTTTCAGATAAAAGAGGTCTGGCAGTCAGCAGTTTTATATGCAAATTTTCAAAGCAACAATTACAAAGAGACAATTATAAAAACTTTTAACGATCATCTGCGCTCCAAATGCACTTTCTTAATCTGCTGCCTATATGTTCACATCCTATCAGCTCGTATCTGTTTTTGTTGTATTTTCTCTGCTGTCACGCCACACCATCTTATTACAGATCTCCTTTAGAAATGCTCACTTGTAATTATGTTATCAGATCTCAGTCATTGTGCTGAAACCAAACAAGGCCTGTCTAATTCCTTGTTACTTCATCATTATTAATGAAATAACAAGATGAGGGCAATTTAATCGCAATACTGCCCTCAACATTTTCGCTCCTTTGCCCAAAGTGACAACATGACACTTGCTATGAAAACTATAGTCTGTGCAATTTGAGCCCTAAATTGCTGTCCTCGCCCGGTTGGAAACTGACCTTGTTTCTTCACACCCCTGTCTCTGTGTCTCTCTCTTTATCTGTTCTCCTTGGACGACTTCTCTCTGTTTCCCGCTCTGCCTCTCCCTGTACCAGATAACTTCCCACAGATGGCTCATCAGAAGCGCTTCATCGAGCGGAAATACAGACAGGAGCTGAAGGAGATGAGACGAGAGCGGGAGCGGCAGGAGAAGGAGACCGACGAGGCGGAGGAATGCAGGAAGTGACAACACCTTTTTTTGGGGGGAGGCCAATCACGACCATCGTCCACATTAAGGAGCTCTGTCTGCAAATGTGGCAGCCGTCCAGGCAAGACTTGGCTAAATAGAGAAGCCACTAGTTGATCCACGGATCTGTGATAGTTTAGCAGTGATGACTGTTGCCTAAGTTCATTACATGAACATCGATGGGACACAGGTGACGAGAACCCACACATTTAGGGTGAAAGCAGTTTTTTGTCCACGATTTTCAAAGTTAAAGTGGGACAGAAGGCAAACAGAATTAGAAATGAAGCAAGATGCTGTCATGTTTTATGCTGTTTAGTACTGTAGCACTGTCGAAGGTGGCCTTATGTTGTCTTATGTTCATGTTTGTTGCCTGATCTTTAAATATTAAGTTGATGACTAACTTTTAAATCCAGAAACCACTGCAGGAGCTCACGTTATGACACATGCCAAAAAAATAGACATTAAACAAGTTTTTAAATGGAGTATGAAAAGATAAATAAACCATCAAAGTTAATATTGTAAATAAAGTTTCAGATTCTGTACCAATCAGTTGAGTTGTTTTTTTGCATTTAATGTAATCCCCACCCGCTCAGTGCTCTGCTAAGAGGCCTAAACCAGAGAAAGGCTTTAGTCAATTATATTCAATCAGTACAATGTCACCATCTGTCTCACATCTGCCACTCATCCTCTAATAATCAAAATGTGATTTTTTTTTTTTTTTTCCTACTCTTTTTTTTTTTTTTTAAACTCTCTCCAAATCCGATTGGCTCTCTAACAGATCTTAATTATAGATTGTCTAATTAACAATTTCCTCAGCTCAGTAGCCTCTGGATCCAGCTATTTAACGACGGCCGTCATATGAATTACTATCTGAAACGTAGAGTTGGGTCTTTTATATTGAGATTTATTGTAGATAATATATACATACCTGTGAGGATGGTAAATGTCATGCCTGCTAGCGTGTGGCTACTATCACATTTCAGATAAAAGTGAAATTATCCTCCACAACCAGAAGAAGTCAGGGAGAGTACTCAAGTAAATTAACCTGTCAAGTTATTAACCTTCCATTTAATGTGTAATGTCACAAAGAAAATAGAGGCTCTGATTTTAAAGATATTTAATCGTGTCATATAAATATTCAGTACAAAATATCACATTTTACAAAGCAGATTGATGAATGGCCAACGATGTAGGGCCCCTTACACTACCACAACCTCTCAGATTGTTTCTACATTGACAAAACTCGACTGCTCAATCACATTGTCACCAACATAATATACCGTATTAGAGGTGAGCCCCGAGGCCGACAGTGTCTACACATCAACAACCACAGATCTATTGTATCTGGAGAAAGAGGACATCAGCGTCACCATCTACTTGCCTCAACTTTAAAAAAAAAACACAAAAAAAGCACCCCGAGATGTGGCGGTACGTCACGATGTGCAACATTTTCTCTTATCTTAGCTGAGCATGGCGCCAATGCTTGGAGGCAATTACACTCTCCATAGGAAAACACAAGCACGTCTTCGTAATGGCGATATGCTGACACCCTGTATGAAGACAGAAAATAGTGAAGACTGAAGGAAAAAATGCTTTTGGTGAGTGCCGCTGTCATGTTGATTTCCATTTGAGACCTCACGTTGTACCTTGAGGCAGAAAAGCAGTTTTCTTAGAGTGAAGGGTTTCTAAACCCATTAAATGCTTATCATAGCAACATTGCTGCAGTCTGAAATGGCCACTTACACAATGGGAGCTCCAGCGACAAGCTAATAAACCAAACAAGGGGGCAAAAAAGAGCACGTGTATACAATAGCCGAGCATAAAGAAATTTCCAACCACTGTTATCAATTGGATTGTTTAATGTGCTGCACCGTCGTTGATGTCAAGCCTGTTCCGAGTACAGAGAGAAAAAGTGTTCCACCGTGGCAATTATGCCATTGTGTTTTGTTATTATTGTTTCAAATGTCTGATAAATGTCAGCCTCTTCACAGGTTGGCCTTTTGCTAAAGTGAGGGCAGAGCTTGTTTTAGCTGGCCTGTTTTTTCTTGTTGGTATCATTCTGCCCTAACAGTACAACCAGCCCTCTTTATTTCATAACTGTTTATTCATAGTTAGTAGGTCTTAAAGTAATTTTCTTGTTTCCTAAATCACATCAAAAACCAAACTGTTGTGTATTCTTTCTGCAGGATGATGTTTTGACCTTCTCTCTGAGCCAAAGACACACCTCTGGGTTTAAAAACCTTATTCCACACCATTCAAAGGTCAGGTGCCCCTCGATAAGCCCCTTTATGGAAAAGGCTGTTCGTCCCTCAGGAAATCAGTTGGGTAAAGCCTGAACACTTGGACTGGCTTCATGTTCAACGCTACATACGGTATATGTAATGAAGGGCAGAGTGCAGAAATTGGAGGATTTCTTTAAAGAAAATACTGGTGTCCTTATGTTACATTATTATACATTCGACTGCAGGGCAGAGGTCACCAAAATCTTAATCAGACAAGTGTAGGTTTTATCTTATCTTAATGTAATAAAAACTTTATTTTTTTATTTATTTTTTAAAACGATGTAGGTCATGTAGTACATTTAGACCTTTTTTTTGTTTGTTTTGAAAAGAATCCGATGCCAGAATCAAGAAAACTTCGTCTTCAGGCCATTTCTCATTACGCTGATTTGTTTTTACAACTTAAGGCAACTTGTCTGATTCATATCATAGACTTTGATGCTTTGTCAGATGAAGTATGAAAGCTGTACATAGTCCTTTCCTATAAATTCCAAACGTTGTTTTCGCCCCGTGCACAGATTCAAATGGTACCTTTCTATTTTTTTCACCTGAACAGATAAAATGAACCATTTAAAGGAAGAAAATAAAATTGCATGATGAATTTTAATGGCAACTCGCCACAAGATATTTAATCTAATTTGATGCTGTAGTTTCGAGCTTGTTGGCATCCTTCCAGCACTGGGAGTTAATGTGACTTTGACTTACACCATGCTGTACAAAGTGAAACATTTACACATTTCTGTGGTCGAGATGAGCAAAAAAGTCCAACAGGACCAGTATTTTCCTCTAACTGAGCTTGGTGATTTTTATCAACGTATGATAGAAAATAATACTGCGTGCTTCATTTTTCAGCTAGAGTTGGCTGCACAGAGAAAAGTGGTTCTGAAGACATTCAGCTCAATAAAGAAATATTTGGTATTTCAGCTCACCTCACAGCGAATGCTCAAAGCTGTGTGGAGTTGAAAATCAGATACTGCAAAATGACAAACTGGTGTGTTTGCGGGTGTTTGTTTGGCCATAAAATCCACATTCACTTACCACAGCTTCTTGTAAGCTTTAAAGAACATTAGCCACTCGTCGACAGCAAGGGACACAAATTTTGTTGATATATACCGCTCATATCCAATCTGTATTCTCATTTTTTCATCAGAGACGACAATGCCTACATTTTCTGGCACTTCTGGCTCAAGCCCAACTGTGGATAAGTGGCTAATGTGAGGCAGCCATCACTGAAAGGAGGGATCATTTGGACAATAGAGATCCCTAGAAAAACAAAACAACTGTACAGCGTATTGTATCATATTACCGTACGTACACAAGCTAAGATAGAACTCACAATATGCAGCATGTTTTTGTCCCAGAAACACTGAAAAATACATAGGCATATCTGTTGGTTTACAAAACTGCTCATTGAACGTGTCCATCACTCGCAGCTTTGGAAAAACAAACAAAAAGAAAATATCGGTATAGATATATTTGGGCCTCATGTGCACCCCGTATACACACAAAAAAGTCTTGACACAAAGTCTCTTTTCACTGCACCCTTGCAAAAAACGCAACTAACACTGACTGGACACACAAAGCCTACGTCTGGTCAACTGGACAACCGAATGGTGATCGATGGCGGTGAAAGAGCACTCAGACAAACGGTGCTCGTTTCTCAGTCCTTTCGCCATTTCTCTCGCCACACATGCACCAGAATCACCAGAAAGTTTTAAACGTGTTTCACATTTCTCTCCTCGTCTGTGTGCCAGGCTCTCGTTAGGAATCCCTGTCGCTGTCGTCGCCCCCGTACATGTCTGCCAGTTTCTTAAACCGGGGTCCCCACTCGCTCAGGTAGTTGTAGTCCTGGTCGCCATCGGTGGTCACCGACTCGAGTGAGCTGAGAGACTCCGCTACGGAACCGTTTCCCTCGTAGGCGTAGGTGGCCAGGGAGTCGTAAGGCGGCGCCGTTGGGTCACTGTCGTTGTCCTGGAGCCTCTGGTTGATGAAGTCTCTCACGTCCCCGTTATTGTCCCGAGTCGGGGGCAGCACAGGCCGTCGAACCGGAGGGTAGAAGGTCTCGGGGACAATGTCCCTCCGCTGCTTGCTCTCCTCGATGGCCTCTGGGTTGCGCAGTGTGCCGATATCAAAGGCCTGAGTGTCCTCCTCTCCGCCCCCTTCGTCGTTGTAGCTGACAACGTTGTCTCTGACATCCTCTTTGGAGATGATCAGAGGCTCCTTCTTCCTCTGTCTCCTCAGGGCAGCAAACAGCACCACGATCACTGCAGGGACATCGAAAACAAAGAGAACAAGTAACAGAGTTAGGTGACTTTTGCTGTTGTTTCTTTGCTCCCTCTCCTTGTTCTGAAGGCCAGTGACTGTCCGGGGGGAATTGTTGATGTTGCATGAGTGTTCACTGATGTTCAGGGACTTTGTCTGACTTTGTAGAACAGGCTCAGCTACCACAAGGATGCATTATGTATTTTTCCCTTCTCAGGGCCACTGCTGCTTAAGATCACGAAGGAATGCAGTTTAAGAAAAGTACATTGTGTGCTAGAAACGCAACTTATGGACCTTCTGTACCACTATGATGTTTGATTGATGCACATAAAGCTGACCTGGCCTCTTTGAATGAAATGGAAAATTAAAATGGTCATTAAAATATAGTTACTAGCAATTTATAAAAATGCCTTTTACCATCTAAGCTAGTTTTATAACCTGGGCCCAGGTTCAAATGTAATTTTTCAGAAATTGAACTTTGGCTTTCTAATACGACTGAAGTTGAAAAGTTTTTATGTATTTGCAAGAAATCAACCTCTGAAACATCTGTGCTGTGTTAGGACATAAAGGACGGGGTAGTAATAGAAGCTCCCTAAGCTAATGCAGCAGCCCCACCAATAGCTCCATCACTGCTTATAGCTCTACTAGGCAGGAGTTTTATGTAAAAATGCACCTGTTCTTTTTTTAATCCTAAAGCACAAAGTTGGGTTGCAATAAAGCACAATGCTCCATTCCCCCAGCTGAGATGCTGTAGATCTTTTGCTGCTTTGCTGTTCAAATCAAATTAACATGTCAGCTGTGGTCACTGGCAGAATTATCCGCCCACAGGAAGCGATGAATCACATTAAAGAGTGAAATACAAAACTGTCTCTTTAACACCTGCGAGAGGCGATTTGCTATAGTGGGAGTGGAGCTTCAAGAAATGCTCAAATCGAATTTTCAGTGAAGCCACCCTGGTTAAATAAAGATCAAATTGAAAAACAAATGTTTGCGAGATTGAGCTGCAGGTGCATTTCCTATCCGTCTCATACAGCCTGTACTCACTGAGCAGAATGATGACACAAAGCAAGATGGCCACCAGGGCGCCCGTGCTGAGTCCCGCCCTCGCTGTGAGTGCCTCGGCGTTGCACAGCTTCATGTTGCCCTCGCGGTCGCAGGTGCACACTCGGACCGTCAGGGTGTTGGTGCTGCTTTGCATAGGGAACTCTCCGTCAGAAATGACCACAGGCACGTGGTAGACGCTCTTGTGCAGGCTGTTGTAGCTGTTCCTCCGGGTTAGAATCCAGGCCGTGTTGTCTGAAAACAGCATATCCAGTTACTATGCAGCAATCAATAACCTGAAAGAATATTTCAATGAACTGTACTCTAAATTTCATTTGGTCTGTGAATGTGCTTTTAGTGCTGCGAGATGAAAAAACACTATAAATCACATCATGAGCAGTACAACAGTGGATGTGGGTAAGTTTAACAGCAGGTATAAGTGCCTTATGGGAACATTATACACAAGATTTAAGTTAATCTGAAGACCACAAGTGCCAGCTGGGAGTGTATCACCTTTGTTATCACGGACAGAGAAGTTAGCCTTCCCAGCAGCCTCCTGTGCAAGACTGAAGAAGAACCTGTGTCCTCCGAGGGGCTCGTCAGGATCTGTGGCACTCACGGTTTGTATCCTCTGAAATAAGAAACGGGCAGGTGAGTAACATAAACTTAAAGCAGCCATATTGAAGAAACACTAACGAACATCGGCTGTGAATAACTGCTATGACTATAACCATCTTACAAGTTTTCAATAATATACTTTAAGGCTCCGTTTAACTGGAACCCATCATTTCACCACTGAGCTTTAATAAAAGAGTGGCTAATCCAGTGAACTAAATACTTAACAAATCAGTCAAGTATTTAGTTCATATTGGAAAATCCAGAACTCTGAGAGAATCAGGCAGTGTATGAGGCCAGTTCCTTCATTTACAACATAGCCTGCAATGGCCTAATGCAACCAGCAATATTTAATAGCTCAGTATAAACACTGGTATACGGTATGTTGTCATATTGGCCAACATTAGCTATAAACCATCTAAAAAGATATCAACAGTAAAAGCTTGTTTTGTCTTTTTATAAAGACAAATGGCCAACGGCATTTAGAAAGTAACAAAACCTCAGATTTCAGGGACGCAGCACTAAACACATGTAACACCTATTACACCTAATAGTTTTTTATTACTGTTGTTGTCTAAATGGACAAACTCTTACTGAACAACATGCTCATGTCAGCAGGCCAATGATAAGTATATTTACTCAAGTACTGCACATAAATACAATTTGGAGGATAGTGTCTATGTTATGCTACTTTGTTTTATTACTAGTTATTCTGCAAACTCATTAAATATATAAAACAATAAATACATTCTAATGTATATAAAGCAGTTAAAATTGGCTCCACGTTTAACAGCTACATATTAATGCATCAATAACAATCTGCATTTAGCAGGACAACAGTATTTCTTTTTTCTCTCTGCTTTAACGTAATGATCTGAGTACTTCTCCCCCGCTCCTGATGAGGTCTAATATCTGAAGGATAATATTCTGTACACACATTTTAGGTTGTTTGAATACCACATAGTGTAAGTGTAACAAGTTCCTGTGAGCCCAGATAAACTCTCGACAGCAACATTCGGTTCAGTGTGATTACCAGATATGTGGTTGAACTGACGCTGAAACTGATGACTGTGTCAAAACGTATGTCTAATGTGTCGCAGCACTTTCCCGCTTGGGAGGAAAGGCGGCAACTGGAAAGACAAACTGTGAGGCTGTGATGTTTGACTACAACATGTAATGTATGTGACTCTCTCCAATGACTGCAGATGTGTTATTTACTTCTTTAATTTGTATTTGGAGCTGTTGGAACTGTATTTATGTACCTGACGAAAACAGGTGTATGTGTTAGATGTTGCACCCAAATCCGATTCTTAAGACAGACTGTCCACACTGTTTGCAAATGATCACATCGAATCACCAATCTGTCTGTATGGGTTGCTTCGGTAACTATGTATGCGTCAGTAACTTCACATATCCGCCCCATATTAAGCTGTGATTGGCCCAACCAGATCCAGGTCTCTGTCTGAACAGGAGGGGGGCCCAATGTATCTGCCAGAGCAAATAAAACATGAGCTTGCAGATTGGTCCTAGCTTAGCTCTGCTAGTCGCAGCATTGATTCTGCTCAGTTGCTGTGATGCATTTCAGTCACTTGGGATTTGGCGTCGTCGTGTGTTGCGAGGGATGAAAAAGACACTTTGAAATCCGATTTGTGTGGCCAGACTGAGATGTGTCTGTAGAAATCGAGATTGGAATCATATTTCATACAAACTACAAATGTGGCTTCAATCAGTTTTTTTCACCAGAATTTCTAAAAATCAATCTGAATAAGACAGATTATGGGCTGGCAGCCTGAACAAGGCCTCAGTTACTCCACCCATCTAGTACTTCTTCTGTCTTAAAACACACGTGACACAATTACAAATACGCTCTGAGGTCTCCTAATTGCGTTCTGAGCTGGAAGCGGACCCCGAACCGGGACGTGGAGATGAAGCCATGACGACTGCTTTGTGTTCGGCCATACCAACCTGATTAGCCTTAGCGTTCTCGCACACAAACGTCTCATAATTGGTGGCGAATGTCGGAGCGTTGTCGTTGACATCCAGCACTCTGATGTAAACAGGTACACGGCTGATCTGCCGAGGGTTGTCTAGGAAACACAAAGGTGAAGACAGTTAATTTACACTAATGAATACTTCTTTACCTATCATAACCATACCACGGCACATGTATTGTGTCTTGTGTGTGGATTTAATATTGTGACTGAAGTAATATTGTTAACATAACGAGATTAATATTCTCCACAAATTATATGTGATAAATAAAAGAAATGACTATATATAAATAGCATGAAGAAATATGATTAAGGTCTATACACATCTTGATTAGTCTCCACTTGTATTCCACATTAATGAATACTCAAATTGGATTATGGGGATTCACTAAAACAAATTTGAACTACTGTAAATTCTCAAATAAAAGCCAATATTCATCTTTTTTTTTTTTGAGTTTATTTGCATTTTTCTTTTGCATATTTGCACCAGAGTGCATACAACATTTTATTGTACTTTGCCTTATAACTGAAGTTTACATTTTTAATACTTATATATATATATATATATATACGTAGATATATTTAATGTGTTTAGTTTTTTATCCTGTGTTTCCTTTTCAAATTCTTATTTTTACTGAATGATGATTTACTCTTTAATTCCAGTCAGTTCTATTTCTCCGTTCTTTCAATAGGTACTGTTAGTGGAACCCATAACTTCCTGCAGATGTTTCACATTTAAAGCCTACACGGGCAGGGGAGAGATTATAGTGTTTGAGCTACTGGAAATGGACTGTAATGTTAAACACTTGTGCAGGAAGTGTTGAGTTTCACTGACATTAACATAACACCAAACAACAAAAGAAAAAGGTGACTTCCTGCATACTTTTCACATTAAAAGTCTTCCAGCAGCTCAAAAGGCATCATCCTGCCACTTTCCATGCTTTTAGTTTTAAATGACAGTAATTTAATGCTGGTAAACAAGGTAAGTGGAATCAATTGCTGGATGTGATTGGTAATTCTGTTAAAAAGAAAAGCTGGTACGAGGCTGGTGTGTACAACATGACTTTGTCGTTGTGCTGATGCGAATAAAGTTACAGAAATGGATCATTTGTATCAAGTACACATGGAGAAGTGTTGAGTTTGTAGATCGGAGACAGGGAAACTTCTCACTAATTTGCTAAAATATACCTATAATAGCAAGCAAAATGTATAATAATCTATTATCTGATATGCCTGTTTCAAATAAGGGCCTGGTCCTCTCTGCAGTTTAGTTAAATAAAGGCCTGCAGCCATGTTTTGAGATTTGACAGTATGTGTAAGTGCTACTCGGGGTGGGGAACAAACACCAGCTAACCGCCAAATGCTGGGTGAACTGGCAGTGACTTTTCTAGTACTCTACAAAACCCCCTTTTTTCACGTCAACACACATCAACTCCAAAAATCCAATTTGGTGGACAGAATAAGAGGGAGCGGGTGAACAGAAATGTCTGCTTCCCGTCCTTCTGCACTTACTGAACTCTGTGGCGGTGACAGAGATGTTGTGCCAGGCGTTCTCTTCTCTGTCCAGCTCCCTGAAGATGAACACTGACCCGTTGCCAGCATGGATGTTGAACACTCTGTCCATGTCCGTGCGCCGATCAATAGAGTACCTGCACAAAACACACACAGGGATCGGCTTGTAAACCCGTGCGCTCTGGCTGTGTGTCAGTGCGCTGTGTTCCCCGGGCGATGGATATGGGGAACATTCACATTTACAGAGTTTCTCAGGTGCAAACCAGAGTGAAAATGGTCACATTCACTGGTGAGACTTGGTTAAATTGACAATATGTGTGGTTAAAGGGGTTTCAGCAGGCAGGAGGTACTCAAAACAAGTCTGACTAAGCATGATGGACTTGTCTGCACTCTGCCATCATTTCCTTTCTTTGCAATTCATAGCACACAGGAACGCATTAAGGAAAATATTAATTTTAGCATCAATCCAGGCAGCGCTTTGCCCTCAGAAGAAACTATGTTGAAGAGGACAAAATTGGTTTTCACCTGCACAAATAAACCAAACTTTAATAAGCGTGCTTCTAAACATCTTCAGACTCCTGCTAAAAGCTCACTTTACACACACACAAAAAACATGTTTTCTCAATTACCCTTTGTGGTATCTAACTGAGAGGATTTGGATACAGCAGTGTATGGAATTTCATGCTTTTACAGAAAAAATGTCCTTGTAACTGGATATCCAACATCCAAACCAAGAGATTGGATGCTGATTTTTGTCTTTTACAGATTTTCAAAATTGCTTCGCTCAGTTGCGCCTCTTACCTTGACGTTTTTCTACTTTCCTGAAGTAACAGTTATTTAAACATACAAACGGTACAATTCAGACACCAGATGTATTATTCAAGTGTGAAATTGTTTCAAATAATTAACACTCAAACTTCCATTTAGTATGTCCCCACTGTGTTGCAGGACAAGGGAGCACCATGTTTTCCTCCAAATACCTTTCCATTTTGAATTCGTTTTCCATTCCAGAAAAGCGTAAGTGACCCAAAATTATTATAATTGAACCACAACGGTGCAAATGTGCTCCAAATAATTTGTTGGTAAGCTATTTTTCTTTGGGCCCTCTGCAGTCTACTGCGTGGTTAGATTGAATAAACTGTGATTTGTCAGTTCGTAGTACGTTTAGCTGACATTCTGTGATCCAATTCCAACAGTGCTAACCCGAGACCAACCTTCTTTTCCTGTTTTGAAGTCCAAGGACAACTTTTTTAAAGCAACATGCCTGGTAATTCCAGCTTTTTACAGGCATTGTACATCGTTGACACTGAAACCGGAAGCTGTCTGGTCAAATTTTGATGCTAAACTTCCAATTTCTTTTATCAATGACGGCTGATCTCTTGCATTCTTATTTAACTGTTGCTCAGAGGTATCTTTGTCTCTTTCTGCCCTTTCAATTGTCAGTCTGGCTGAACCATTGTACAGCGGTTTGTACAAAACATTCCTTTTTTGCAAACCTTTCATACAAAATATCAACTATTTGTGAAGACCTTCTACAACCTAAAAACACGAAAGACCATTCAAAAATACAGAGTAGTCCTTCTCAGCCTCTGACAGAACCAAATCTGGCAGGCGATTCCAAACTTTTGAACGGTGTCGGGCGTCACAGTTGCTGAAGATGGAGCACAAATATCAGACAAATCTGAGCCCATGAAAACAACATTATCTGCATGACTAGATACAACTGGAGGTAGGTAAGACTGTATATATTTGGTGATTTGGGGGACTGACCCTTTAATATGTCTAACAGTCTTGAATAGTCTGTCCTGTGGTGATGACAGATTTATTTGGTGTTTGCAGACACACACACACAAGCGTGCATGAGGCAACAGGTTATCCAGTCGTGTTGTTTTTCTCTGCTTCCCAGACTACTGCGATACATCAGTGTGATTAATGGAGTAGCAGGCATCAGGAGGGCCGGCGTAAGAAGGAGGAGACCCCCGAGGGCAGACTATGAACCCGGGCTCTCAATGCACCGCCGCACCACTCTCGCCTTGCCGCACCACCCCCTCCTCCCAACACCCCCAACCCCTCCCTCCTGCTTCTCCCGTATCAACCATTTTAGTGTCTTTATCCAAACACTCCCTCCTCATCTGTGCCTGCCTCTCCTCCGCTCCTACCACCTTGCCGCGCCGACAGTAACTCTAACCTCGTTAAATCTGCGTCGGCCGTGGGCTTTACTAATTGCTTTTCTAATATTCCCAATAATTCAGATGGCTGGGCCTAACCCTTCCCCTGAGTAATGGCAGAGAGATAACAGCGCGCCTCGTCCTGACCGGGCACCCAAAGTGCTGCACTCAGCATGCAGGCAGCTGGCTGGATGGGAGGCCAAGCAGAAGGACATGGAGGGTTACAGAAATGTTACTGATCAGCGCGTTGGGACATATATCCTCTTCCCTCGCTACAGAAGCTACATGTCCGGCTGGCTTGCCCCAGTAGTTTCAGAAGAGATTCTTCGAGAACAAGAGTCAGCAGGCATCCAGTATTAATATTGATTTGGGGATTTAAGGGTCAAAAGGGGTCATGACCTGGGCTATATTTGGATGAAAACGTTTGTTTCGGTTGAAGTTCCATCATTTTTAACACTTTCTAATATATATTCATCTAAATGTTGTTGAAAAGTGAGAAAACTAAAAAACGTGGTAAGACAATCTCACCTCAAGGTCCATGCAGAAGCTATTCTGGAGCTGATGATATTACATAGTCTTCATCAACAGATAGAGTCATAGAATTAAAGAAGTTCAAATTCATGTCAACTTTAAAGGACTTCTCAATCATGTTTTCCAGCGTTAACTGCTGCTGAAACAAAGATTGAAAGCTCCTCAGCAGCGAACGGACCTCGAGGTCGCTGCTGTTTTCAAGGTCAAGAATGAACTAGAATTTATCGCAGTTTTAACACAAATCTGCAACACTTATTGGGCACTTTTGTGTATGAACATGATGTGTGCCTGAGGATAGATGACATTTTGAAAGAATATTCGATCTCTTAATTGTTCAATTTTCATGCCAAACCATTCTCACTTGGCAAGAAGGTTTCCAGTGTTTTTCCCAAAGTCTGCCCTTGCTAAGCTGACGACTGGAAACAGCATTTAGAATATCGCAGCACTAAAACGCTTCATTAAAACCAGGGCTAATAAAATTCTTTTAAGAGTTGGCAGGTGTTTCAGACAGAGACCCATAGGACAGAAAACACTGGGAAAGTATTCCAACGTGTGTATAATATTCAAAAACATTCCTGCGTGTGTAACAAGAGGAAAAAAGAAAATAATTTCAGGATTCAAAACCTTGAATTTCTTTATGTTCTAGGGCCTTGGACATCAGTAATGAGTCTCCTTCACACTGGCTGACTAGCCAAAATATAATAGGCTAATAGAAAATAGGCCATATCTGCTACAGTAGATCATTCAGTATTCATGTGTGTCTGCACATGCTGTATGTTCGTGCATGCAGAAGTCCGTGCTTACTGAGGGTACTTTGTATACATCCGTGCCCACATGTGCACGTGTCTGCATATGTTGTGGCGAGCGGCGCAAGCTAATAAAGATAACCGTCTCATGCCAGGCAGCCCCCAGGCT